AGTCACATGTAGGCCAGACCAGGTAAGGATGGCAGTTTCCTTCCCTAAAGGACATTAATGAACCAGATGGGTTTTTCCAACAATTGACAATGGATTCACGGTCATCATTTGATTCTTAATTCCAGATATTTATTGAATTCAAATTCCATGCCATGGCGGGATTCGAACCCAGGTCCCCAGCACATTATCTGGGTCTCTAGATTAACAGTCCAGCGATAATACCACTAGGCCATCACCTTCCCTTGATCATAAGGTCAGAAGTGGGGATGTTCGCCAATGATTGCACATTGTTCAGCACCATTCGCGACTCCTCGGATACTGAAGCAGTCTATGGTCAAACCCAACAAGATCTCGACAATATCCAGGCTTGGGCTCACAAGTAGCAATTAATATTCACGCCACACAAATGCCAGGCTATGACCATCTCCAACAATGGATAATCTAGCCATCGTCCCTTAAAATTCAACAAGTGTCACCATCACTGAATCTCCCACTATCAACATCCTGAGGGTTACCATTGACCAGAAACTGAATTAGACTCACCACATTAACGCAGTGGCTACAAGAGCAGGTCAGAGGCTGGGAATACAGCAACGAGTAACTCACCTCCTGACTCCCCAAAGCCTGTCCCACCATCTCCAAGGCACAAGTCAGGAGTGTGATGGAATACTCCTCACTTTCCCCGGATGAGTGCACCCCCTACAACACTCAAGAAGCTCAACACCATCCAGGACAAAGCAGCCCCCACTTGATTGGCACCACATCCACAAACATCCCACTCCCTCCCCCACCGACGCTCAGTCGCAGCAGCGTGTACCATCTACAAGATGCGCTGCAGAGATTCACCAAAGATCCTCAGGCAGCACCTTTCAAACCCATGACCACTTCCACCTGGAAGGACAAGGGGCAGCAGATACATGGGAACACCAGACCCCTGCAAGTTCCCCTCCGAGCCACTCCCCATCCTGAGGTGGAAATATATCGCCGTTCCTTTAGTGTTGCTGGATCAAAATCATAGAATCACAGAATCTCTACAGTGAGGAAGCAGCCCACTCAGCCCATCAAGACCAGACAGACCCTCCAAAGAGCATGTCTCCCGGAAACACCCACCCTCCCCCACCCTTTCCCTGTAACCCTGCATTTCCCACCCTCCCTATCTCTGTCACCTCCTCCAGCCCCTACACCCCTCCCTATCTCTGTAACTCCCTGCAGCCCCTACACCCCCTCCCTATCTCTGTAACCCCCTGCAGCCCCTACACCCCCTCCCTATCTCTGTAACCCCCTCCAGCCCCTACACCCCTCCCTATCTCTGTCACCTCCTC